GGGCGGGCGGCAGGAAGGCGTGAGCAGCGCGTCATTCCCGGAGAGCTCCCGGGGGAACCGGGGGCTGATGCGCTCCCATCCCCACCAGCCACCCCTGGAGCCGGCAGCTCCGTCGGAGCCTTCATCCCTCAGGACACATCTGGGCTCTTGGCCTCGGGCTCATCCTCCCCCCGCCCCAGGTTCCTCCGCCCTCACCAGCCCCTTCCTCCTCCTCCTCCTCCTCCTCCTCCCGCCGCTGCCCTCGCTGGGCTGTTGCTGCTGCTGTCCCCGGGGCGGTGACGGTCCCTGCCCTGCAGCCCCATGGCCGGGAGCGCTGAGATGGCCTCCCTGGAGGAGAGTTTCCGCAAATTCGCCATCTACGGGGACACGAAGGCCACGGGGCAGGAGATGAACGGGAAGAACTGGGCCAAGCTCTGCAAGGACTGCAAAGTCACCGACGGCAAAAGCGTCACCAGCACCGACGTGGACATTGTCTTCTCCAAGGTGAAGTAAGTGAGCTCGGCTTCTTGGGGCTTCTCTCCAGCCCCTTGGAGCAGGGGGATCCCCTCTTGGGGTGATCCCCCTGGGGCAGGGGGGTCCCCTCTTGGGGTGATCCCCCTGGGGCAGGGGGATCCCCTCTTGGGGTGGTCCCCCCCGGGGCAAGGTGGTCCCCCCAGCTGCCCACCCAACCCAGCATCCCTGGTGATGCTCCAGTGTGGAGCATCGGGTGCTGCCCTGTGTGCTCCCTCCCTCCCTGCCCCCCAGGGAGGTCCTGGGGCTGCTTTTGCAAGACCTGGTCATAAATTAACCCAAACTTGGGAGGTGGGAGGCTCAGGTTTGGGGGCACAGGCTGTGTCCCTGCTCCCGGGTGGCAGGGTGGGCCTGGCTGGTTCTGCCAGGTTCCCACCCAGCAAGGGGTTGCTGCTGGGAGCAGGGGAAGGTGCTCAGGGGTCTCTGGCATGACATGACATGGTCCATCCTTGGGCCTGGCCAGCCCACACCTGAACCTGGGGAGGGCTCTGGTCCTTGGAGGTCACAGGGGCAGCTGAAGAGCTAAAGGGGCTGCTTTTGGGGTCTTCCAAGACACAGTGACACCCGGGGCTCCTCACCAGGGTGTGGGAGCAGGGGTGGGTGGAGAACCTGCTCCCTCTGCCATCCCTGTGTTCACTGGGTGGGGCCAGGAGGGTCTGAGCTGCCTCGGGGACAAGGAAGGGGCACTGATGGGACAGATGCTCTGTGCACATCCTTCCCAATGTCCCCAGAGAAGGGCACTGCCTGCCAGGGGGTGCTGGGCATCCCAGGCAGGCTGGAGCAGTGGGAATGGGCACATGTCCCCTCCTACCACCAGCACCCAAATCCCAGGGCACTTCCGTGCAGGGGTGAAGTTTTTTTTGGCCCCCCCCAGGGTGTTTTAACAAGCCCGTGGCTGAAAAGCTCCTGGAGCTCAGGCAGGATCACCCTGGCTCTGCCCACCTTTCAGAGGGGCCCGAGGCTGGGGGAGGGCAACGCCAGGGTCTCCCAGCTGCAGCTCATCCCCCCCCCCCCAACCCCTGGGAGGCACAAGCTGGGGATGTGCTCCTGGCAGCCTGGGCTTGGTGCTCGCAGGGGGAAGACAGCCCGGGTGATCAACTACGAGGAGTTCAAGAAGGCTCTGGAGGAGTTGGCCCCCAAGAGGTTTAAGGACAAGAGCAAAGAGGAGGCCTACGAGGCCATTTGCCAGCTGGTGGCAGGGAAGGAGCCCATCAACGTGGGCGTCACGGTGGGGAAAGGCCCCCCCCCCCCAACCTGGGAAGCAGGAGGGATGCTCGGGAGGGCAGGACATTTCCTGGGGGACCTGTGTGTGTGTGTGTGGGGGGGGGTTGTGTCCCCAGGGGGGTGTGAGGAGCTTTGGGGAAGGCACG